TCATAGTTTACCGGCTCATCTCCGACACGTCATAGTTTACCGGCTCATCTCCGACACGTCATAGTTTACCGGCTCATCTCCGACACGTCATAGTCTTCCGGCTCATCTCCGACACGTCATAGTCTTCCGGCTCATCTCCGACATGTCATAGTCTTCTGGCTCATCTCCGACACGTCATAATTTACCGGCTCATCTCCGACACGTCATAGTTTACCGGCTCATCTCCGACACGTCATAGTCTTCCGGCTCATCTCCGGCATGTCATAGTTTACCGGCTCATCTCCGACACGTCATAGTCTTCCTGCTCATCTCCGACACGTCATAGTCTTCCGGCTCATCTCCGACATGTCATAGTCTTCTGGCTCATCTCCGGCACGTCATAATTTACCGGCTCATCTCCGACACGTCATAGTTTACCGGCTCATCTCCGGCATGTCATAGTTTACCGGCTCATCTCCGACACGTCATAGTCTTCCGGCTCATCTCCGGCATGTCATAGTCTTCCGGCTCATCTCCGACATGTCATAGTCTTCTGGCTCATCTCCGACACGCCATAATTTACCGGCTCATCTCCGACACGTCATAGTTTACCGGCTCATCTCCGGCACGTCATAGTTTACCGGCTCATCTCCGACACGCCATAATTTACCGGCTCTTCTCAGGCCTGTTAGAGTTTACCGGCTCATCTCCGGCACGTCATAGTTTACCGGCTCATCTCCGACACGCCATAATTTACCGGCTCTTCTCAGGCCTGTTAGAGTTTACCGGCTCATCTCCAGCTCTCTGCAAATTTCACATACTGCACAGGTCAGGAGGGGGCGCTGTGGGTCATGACAAAGATGGGGTTGTGGTGGAGATGGGGCTTCTCTCCTTAGGTGTTGTCCAGAGACATATCCAAGGATTCCCTGTGGTGGCCATTACAGCTCCATCACCCAGGAAACCTAGGAAAGGGATGACCAATCAGAAGAGAGCACAGAAGTCACTCAATCCCAGACAGCCAATCAGGACAAAGGACACGGAGTAGGCAAACTCCTGAGGAGCCAATGGCAAAGCAGGAGAGACAGAGAGAGAGGACGCTGGTGGAGACCAAGAGAGCACGAGGCGCACACAGACCACGGGAACCAATCAAGAGGGACAGGGAGAGGAAACACAAAGAGATTTCAGCCAATCAGGAGGGAGCTGGGAAAACAACACCCTCGTCTGTAACAAGCCTCCTTTCCCCGGATAGGCCAGGAATTCCCAGGAATGCCGATGATGGAATTGGGAGTGAGGATCTGCACCACGGGTGTCAACCTGGCGGCCCTCCAGCTGTTGCCAAACTACAAGTCCCATGAGGCATTGCAGGATTGACAGTTAAAAGCATGACTCCCAAGGGCAGATGCATGATGGGACTTGAAGTTCCGCAACAGCTGGAGGGCCGTCAGTTTGACACCCCCCTGATCTACACCCTCTGGTTCTTAAGGAGTTACACCCCGGTCACACTGGGTGCAAAGTGGCATGCGATTTGCCATGCCATGCGACTTGCAAATCGCATGTCAAGTCGCACTCTATTGTCCGCAATTACAGCGGTCCTATTGGTGCAGTTCTGACTTGACCAGCTGCAGCGATTTCTAAAGTAGTCCATGCGCTGCTATTGGTGCGATTTGTATAGACCTCTGCGTCAGATATCTTGCGAATCGCACCTGAAATCGGCAGTTCACCTGACTTTGAAATCCTGCGACTTTGCTGTAAGTTGCATGATTTCAAAGTTGGGCTTGATGTGAATGAGGGTAAGTCCCCGGTCACACTGGATGCGAATTGGCATGCGACTTGCATGCCATGCGACTTGCAAATCGCATTCCAAGTCACACCCTATGGTATGCAATTAGAGCGGTCCTATTGGTGCTGTTCCGATTTGGTCAAAGCCGCACTGATTTCCAAACCAGTCCATGCGCGACTTTTGGTGCGATCTGCATAGACCTCTGCGTCACATATCTTGCGAATCGCACCTGAAATCGGCAGTTCCCCCAACTTTGAAATCCTGCGACTTCGCTGTAAGTCCCCGGTCACACTGGATGCGAATTGGCATGCGACTTGCATGCCATGCACCTTGCAAATCGCATGCCAAGTCCCACTCTATTTAGAGCGGTCCTATTGGCGCTGTTCTGCACCGATTCCTAAAGCAGTACAGGCGCGACTTTTGGTGCGATCTGCATAGACCTCTGCGTCGAATGTCTTGCGAATCGCACCTGAAATCGGCATCTCACCTGACTTTGCAATCCTGCGACTTCGCTGCAAGTCGGGTTTGATGTGTGAAGATCACCATGACAGCAATGACCCGAAATCTATACAAACCGCGATTTCCCAGACAGAGAATCGCTCGCAGGAACGCATAAAGCGCTGTTCTAAGTTATCGCCGAACGTTCGGTGAAACGGTGGGGTCCCTGGGGGGGAGGGAAGGGGGCCGCGGAGCGATCCAGGTAAACACGTCCATTTAGGAGCGCGGCGATAGGATAACACGCGGTTCGGTCGCTGCATCGCTCCCGTCATTCTCTGCATGTGCCGGGCTGCGTTTGCTCCATTGCTATTCCAGTCATTCAGCCCCCCCCTCCTCCTTCCCGCGCTCTCCTCTGCGCGCTCTATTCCCCTCCCCCCCCCCCCCCCCTCGCCCTCTCCCTCCCTCCTCCGCTCTCTCATTGCCCCGCAGCGTAATGAAAGCTGACATTATATCAAACATTATAAAGACTCTCATTTGATGAGGATCATTCGTCAACACACAAACCTATTAACCAGCAGAAAAAAAAAAAAAAAAAAACACCCGTTCGCCGCTCCCGCCCCGCGCGCCGCGTGCATTCCGACCTCTCGCTGCAGACGGATCCTGACTGCTAATCGCAGCCTCCGCTCTACGCCAGCGAGGAGAAAAAAAAAAACATTTCAGGTGAACTCGGCGACAAGGTCACCGGCAAGGACGGAGCCGTCACGTTCCCCCCCCCCCCTCACCACCACGTGCGGCCCCCCGTCTACCTGCCGCGGAGGTAGCGCTGCGTCGAGGATCTGTACGGAAACGCTCGGGAAGGCCGCTGGACGCCAATGGCGGATTCCGCAAACCGTTTTCCGTGATATTCATGGCAGAGAATGTTCGGGGCGTAAAGGAAAAGAAATGTTTCTGGGAGTAAACGGGCGCATCGATCCGCCAGCCATACCGCGGGAAAACGGGCGGGCGGCGTGTGCCGGCAGGCCGGCGTTCGCCGCTAAGCGTTTTGTACAGCGCTGCGCAAACTGTCGGCGCTAAATAAATCCCGGATAATAATAGAATAATGACAACGAAGGATAAAAGATACAAAGGAACGCAACAATGTATTGTATTCATCTCTTTGCTGCTTCTCCTTTCACTGTCCAGTCACAGGATGAGGCTGGGCACTTAAAAATGGGTGGTCACCTGAGGACATCTAGCGGCAGAAAAGGAGTGCTGCAGGGGGCGGCTCTGGACTAGAGCTGAATACTGCAGCACAGTCAACAGAAGGAGAGAGCAGAGTGACAAAGAAATGAGCTCATCTATGTGCTGCTTCTCCTTTCACTGTCCAGTCACAGGATGGGGCTGGGCACTTAGAAGTGGCTTTAATGATGCTGGTGGTCACCTGAGGACATCTAGCGGCAGAAAAGGAGTGCTGCAGGGGGCGGCTCTGGGTTAAAGCTGAATACTGCAGCAAAGTTGACAAAGGGAGAGAGCAGAGTGACAAAGAAATTAGCTCATCTATGTGCTGCTTCTCCTTTCACTGTCCAGTCACAGGATGGTGTTTGGGCTCTTAGAAGTGGCTTTAATGATGATGGTGGTCACCTGAGAACATCTAGCGGCAGAAAAGGAGTGCTGCAGGGGGCGGCTCTGGACTAGAGCTGAATACTGCAGCACAGTCAACAGAAGGAGAGAGCAGAGTGACAAAGAAATGAGCTCATCTATGTGCTGCTTCTCCTTTCACTGTCCAGTCACAGGATGGGGCTGGGCACTTAGAAGTGGCTTTAATGATGCTGGCGGTCACCTGAGGACATCTAGCGGCAGAAAAGGAGTGCTGCAGGGGACGGCTCTGGGTTAAAGATGAATACTGCAGCAAAGTTGACAGAAGGAGAGAGCAGAGTGACAAAGATATTAGCTCATCTCTTTGCTGCTTCTCCTTTCACTGTCCAGTCACGGGATGGGGCTGGGAAAAAGTAATTAAAACTAATATAATAAATAATAATAATAGCAAAAAGAATAGATTAAAATAAATAAATGAATAATAATAAAAATAATTTAGATAAAACTGAAATAAAATTAATATAAAAATATATACTTCTAGGGGCAACAATGGAAACAATGATAGATTTTATTATGTGTGCAAAAACCTCAATAAACGTCGTGGCAGACCAGCGGTGACAACACATTGTAATTCGCGGACATATGAAGGGAATGAGGACTGCGGACAGAAGCCCAGGAACCCCGATGGAGCTGCGATGATCCTTTCTTGGCCGGCTTTTTGAATTTCTACTAAACATTTGTACACTGGGAGGTCGCCCTTTTCTCTCATCCTCCTTCCCTAACCGCATCCTCTAGTGCCTGAAACATGTCAGGGTGGGGTGCACATTGCCTGCAGGGTGTACAATGGAGGCGCCCCCCCCTTCTGATTTGTGGAATTCCGGGAAGATCATATACAGAAGGATCACAGATCTGATATTAGAAACGTTTCGTTGTTTCTCCCGGATTGAAGGATTTCTGCTGTTTGTCATTGGCTGAGACGTTTCGTATCGCGGCGGCCGCGTCCCCCTCGCTTCCCGTGACACAAGACGCTCTAATTATGTGAAGGTCACATCTCAGGGACAGAGGACGTTCCATTCCGGCGCAGAGAATCCAAATGACACAAATTTACCCTACGAGGAGCCCGCGGCTGGCCGAGCGAACGATCGCTCACATCATGTCATCCTGCCGAGTCCGAGCAAATCCCTCATCATCCCTCCAGTGCCGGCGGCCATGAAATCGCCAACATGGCTGCCAGCCGGAACTGCGCTATCCCGCCGCTTATCGATGTGACCTCCGACCTCCTCTTCAGACTTGCACAGGTGTACCGGCTCCTCCCCTTCAGTCTTGCACAGGTGTATCGGCTCCTCCCCTTCAGTCTTGCACAGGTGTATCGGCTCCTCCCCTCCAGTCTTGCACAGGTGTACTGGCTCCTCCCCTCCAGTCTTGCACAGGTGTAACGGCTCCTCCCCTTCAGTCTTGCACAGGTGTGTACCGGCTCCTCCTCTTAAGTCTTGCACAGGGGTACCGGCTCCTCCCCTTCAGTCCTGCACAGGGGTACCGGCTCCTCCCTTTCAGTCTTGCACAGGGGTACCGGCTCCTCCCCTTCAGTCCTGCACAGGTGTACCGGCTCCTCCTCTTCAGTCTTGCACAGGTGTACCGGCTCCCCCCTTCAGTCTTGCACAGGTGTAGCACCTCCTCCTCCCCTCCAGTCTTGCACAGGTGTACTGGCTCCTCCCCTTCAATCCTGCACAGGTGTACCGGCTCCTCCCTTCCAGTCTTGCACAGGTGTACAGGCTCCTCCCCTCCAGTCTTGCACAGGTGTACCGACTCCTCCCCTTGACTCCTGCACAGGTGTACCGGCTCCTCCCCTTCAGTCTTGCACAGGTGTACCGGCTCCTCCCCTTCAGTCTTGCACAGGTGTACCGGCTCCTCCCCTCCAGTCTTGCACAGGTGTACTGGCTCCTCCCCTCCAGTCTTGCACAGGTGTATCGGCTCCTCCCCTTTAGTCTTGCACAGGTGTATCGGCTCCTCCCCTTCAGTCTTGCACAGGTGTACCGGCTCCTCCCCTTCAGTCTTGCACAGGTGTATCGGCTCCTCCCCTTCAGTCTTAACACAGGTGTAGTGGCTCCTCCTCTTCAGTCTCTTCAGTCAGACTGAGGAAACGCCGCCGCCTCCCTCTACAAAGTTACAATGTACAGTCTGATCACTGGGGGAGGGGGAGACTGAGGAAATGCTTCCTCCTGCCTGCAGCAGACTGATGACATCATCTCAGCATAGGCCAAGTCACTGGCTGGCTTTTTAATGAGAAGAGGTGGAGCATTTTTGATGGATGATCCCGCTGCTGTATGTTGTATGTTGGGACATGTCCGGGATTCATTCATTGTACAGGTAGGAGGACATACATACAAATCTCAGACACAAATGCAGAATTTCTGGGATGTTGTATGTTGTATGATTGGACTGGTGAAGGAATTCTCCCCGGATATTGCATCCCTGGGTGGGATAGGATCGTATGTTGTATGTTGTATGATGTATGATTGGACAGGTGAAGGAGTTCTCCCGGATATTACATCCCTGGGTGCGGTAGGATCGTATGTTGTATGATGTATGATTGGACAGCTGAAGGAGTTCTCCCCGGATATTGCATCCCTGGGCGCGGTAGGATCGTATGTTGTATGATGTATGATTGGACAGGTGAAGGAATTCTCCCCGGATATTGCATCCCTGGGTGCGGTAGGATCGTATGTTGTATGTTGTATGATTGGACAGGTGAAGGAATTCTCCCCGGATATTGCATCCCTGGGTGCGGTAGGATCGTATGTTGTATGATGTATGATTGGACAGGTGAAGGAATTCTCCCCGGATATTGCATCCCTGGGTGCGGTAGGATCATATGTTGTATGTTGTATGATTGGACAGGTGAAGGAATTCTCCCTGGATATTGGATCTCTGGGTGCGGTAGGATCGTATGTTGTATGTTGTATGATGTATGATTGGACAGGTGAAGGAATTCTCCCCGGATATTGGATCTCTGGGTGCGGTAGGATTGTATGTTGTATGATGTATGATTGGACAGGTGAAGGAATTCTCCCCGGATATTGGATCCCTGGGTGCGGTAGGATCGTATGTTGTATGATTGGACAGGTGAAGGAGTTCTCCCCGGATATTGCATCCCTGGGTGGGGTAGGATCGTATGTTGTATGATGTATGTTGTATGATTAGACAGGTGAAGGAATTCTCCCCGGATATTGCATCCCTGGGTGCAGTAGGATCGTATGTTGTATGTTATATGTTGTATGATTGGACAGGTGAAGGAGTTCTCCCCGGATATTGCATCCCTGGGTGGGGTAGGATCGTATGTTGTATGTTGTATGATTAGACAGGTGAAGGAATTCTCCCCGGATATTGCATCCCTGGGTGCAGTAGGATCGTATGTTGTATGTTATATGTTGTATGATTGGACAGGTGAAGGAGTTCTCCCCGGATATTGCATCCCTGGGTGGGGTAGGATCGTATGTTGTATGTTGTATGATTAGACAGGTGAAGGAGTTCTCCCCGGATATCGCATCCCTGGGTGTGGTAGGATCGTATGTTGTATGTTATATGTTGTATGATGTATGATTGGACAGGTGAAGGAGTTCTCCCCGGATATTGCATCCCTGGGTGCGGTAGGATGGAGGCGCCCCGCGCCCGCCATCTTCCACCGACTGCCATGCAGCAATCAGAATGATTAGGAGGCCCCATGTAGGGGTGCAATCAGTGACCAGGACAGACGGAGGGGGAAGGGGATCGGCGGCTCATGTCACACATTAGACTTCGCCGCCATCTGTCTGCGCCGGGCATTGATGGAAGGCCAGGACTGGCTGGCATTATGACCGGGCAGGGGAAGGGGGAGGGGGGCACTGGACATCTGGAGAGAGCGGCAATCAGTGCTGGAGAGGAGGGCGCGGCGGCCGGCCAAGTCAGCTATGAAATGAAATGCTCAGATAATGCCGCACTTCGCCAACGCCGGCTCAGGTGATAACGCCGAGCGCCATTTGGTGGCAACAAAACCTTTATTATCTCAGTAAATTCCGACTGTGGATGAAGAAGGATCAGCTAAATATTCTGCCCCAAAAGCTGCCCATATACATGGGATAACGGGAGGAAGAAACGAGAGATTTCCAGTACAAGTTCCTTCACACAGTACAATCTGATTGCACAATCTCCTTCAGAATTACCACCAATCTGGTACACACTGTAGGTTCATACTGTCCGAGATATTCAGGGCTGAGTCCTACCAAGATGGTGTCCATGTCCCGGGATCACAGATTCAACCGTATTGGAGCTACGGCACATGCCCAGGAACTACAAAAAGCACCAGTTGCGGGGATCGGTACCCTGTGTATTTAGAGGCGGGGGTCTGGGCAGAAGCAACCATGAGGTTGGCATGATGGGTTGTCCCTACATATTTAGAGGCGGGGGTCTGGGCAGAAGCAACCATGAAGTTGGCATGATGGGTTGTCCCTACATATTTAGAGGCGGGGGTCTGGGCAGAAGCAACCATGAAGTTGGCATGATGGGTTGTCCCTACATATTTAGAGGCGGGGGTCTGGGCAGGAGCAACCGTAAATTGGGCATGATGGGTTGTCCCTACATATTTAGAGGCGGGGGTCTGGACAAAAGCAACCATGAAGTTGGCATGATGGGTGGTACCTGCATATTTGGAGGTGGGGTCTACGCAGAAGCAACCATGAGGTTGGCATGATGGGTTGTCCCTACATATTTAGAGGCGGGGGTCTGGGCAGGAGCAATCGTAAATTGGGCATGATGGGTGGTCCCTGCATATTTGGAGGTGGGGTCTGGGCAGAAGCAACCATGAAGTTGGCATGATGGGTTGTCCCTACATATTTAGAGGCGGGGGTCTAGGCAGGAGCAGCTGTAAAGTGGGTATGATGGATGGTCCCTGAATATTTTGAGGCAGGGTCTGGGTGGGACCAACCATAAAATGTGCATGATGGTGATCCCTGCATTTTTGGAGGCATGGTCTTGGTAGGACCTACCATAAAGTGGGCATGATGGGTGGTCCCTACATTTTTGGAGGCATGGTCTGGGTAGGACCAACCATAAAGTGGGCATGATGGGTGGTCCCTGCATTTTTGGAGGCATGGTCTGGGTAGGACCAACCATAAAGTGGGCATGATGGGTGGTCCCTGCATTTTTGGAGGCATGGTCTGGGTAGGACCAACCATAAAGTGGGCATGATGGGTGGTCCCTGCATTTTTGGAGGCATGGTCTGGGTAGGACCAACCATAAAGTGGGCATGATGGGTGGTCCCTACATTTTTGGAGGCATGGTCTGGGTAGGAGCAACAGTAAAATGGGCGTGATTGCTGCATATTTAGAGGTGTGGTCTGGGCAGGACCAACCGTAAAGTGGGCATGAAGGGTGGTCCCTTCATATTTAGGGAAGGGGTCTGGGCAGGACCACCCAGAAAGTAGGCAGGATGGGGGTCCCTGCATATTTGGAGGCGGGGTCTGGGCAGGACCAGCCATAAAGTGGGCTTTTATGGGTTGTCCCTGCATATTAAGAGGGGGGGGGGTCTAGGTGGGATATGGGCACAACCATGGATGTGGGCCCTGGTGCACAATGTTGGTAGGTGCGATGTGGATCCTCCATAACAGGTGGGCCCTCCTTATGTATATCTGCCAGGAAATCTAAAGCAGATGAAGAAAGGTTGTACAATCAGATTGTCTGTCATTATTGACGCGTTCTTTTTCCTCCCACGAATTAAACTTTCTGGTATTCGATCCCCTGCGCAGTTTTTATTCTTTGCGCTATAAAAAAAAAAAGACCAACAATTTTGAGGAAAAAAAAACAATATTTTTGACTTTTTGCTATTAAACACGTCCAGTAAAAAAAATTTAAAAATCAAATTTCGTCATAAATTTTGGCCAAAATGTCTCCCGCTCCGTGTTTACGCTAAAGAAAATAAATCCCGATACGTGGAAATTAATTAGTTGCCGTGAAAGTTATAGCGTCTACAAGTGGCGGTATAGACACTGGGATTTTTTTTTTTTTTTTTTTACTAGTAATGGCGGCGATCAGCGACTTATAGCGGGACTGCGACAAGCATTCTGACACTGGGGGGTGGGGGGGGGGGGGGGGGGGGGGAACTGACTTGGTGTCACTGACATCCCCAGGTACACCAACACAGGGATCTGTGCTAATAAAAAGCACCGACACTGTACTAATGGCACTGGGCAGGAAGGGGTTAAGGTGGGGTGATCAAAGGGTTAACTGTGTGCTGTTTTACTATGAGGCTGTGTTTCACTGTGAGCATGCTGCTTTGTATGGTAAGCAGTGTGCAGTAATGGCAAGGGGTGCTGGGGTGCGCTGGAAGGTCTATTCATGATGGTTTCCGGTGATCTATTGTTACTGGAGGGGATCTATTTTTGCATGGTGGGGGAGGAGGGGGATCTATTTTTTTACTGCTTTTCTTGTTATCATTAACACCTTCCATAAAAATTGTTTTGCACCACAAAATGATAATTGTCTCTGTATTCTCTAAAAGGATCTGCATGGGGGGGGTGGAACCAAGGATCACCAAAGGATCTGCACTTGGGGGGGGGGGGGGGGGGGGGGGGGGGGTGGAACCAAGAATCACCAAAGCATACTAAAAGCTGACCACCAAGTACTAGGTTAGGGGGGCTCTCCTGGGGAGCGGGGGAGGGGAGAGAGCAAATATGCTAATTAGATACAATGCTCTCCCTAAGTTAAAATAGTATGGTCCAAACTCATCATTATTGATGGAAGCGGGGGATGGTGGAAGGGGTGATCCATTGGACCAGTGTGTCTGACCCAACAAACTTAGTTTTGTTCATATGTTGACATCATGTATAACGACATTTGTAGTTCCGTGCAGGTGAACGGCTGGAAGACTGACCCCTTCCCGGTCCTCTCCGGGGTCAGACAAGGCTGTCCTCTCTCACCTCTGCTTTTTGTTTGCTGTATAGAGCTCTTCGCCGAATGCATCAGACGGAATCCAGAGATCGGGGGAATCACCGCACCGGGACCAGACAGACGGGAAGTGAAGTGCTCGCTCTACATGGACGACGTGACGGTGTTCTGTGCCAACCAGCGCTCCATCGACCTGCTCGTCCAGACCTGCGAGGACTTCGGCCAAGCTTCGGGGGCAAAGGTCAACTGCGGGAAGTCGGAAGTCATGCTCTTCGGAAAGTGGTTCCTGCCTTCTTCTTCTGCATCCATGCCCTTTGGCATCAAGACAGACTT